GGGGGGGGGGTTAACAAAGAGGTACTTATAGTATCACAATGCAACAACTGCTTTCTTTTCATCTTTCTGAGGATATATTGGGAACATCTCTACCTTCAAGGTAGGGGTAAGGTCTGCATACGCACTACCATCCGCAGAAACCCACTTGTGAGAATTATACTGGGTTTTTTTTTGTTGTTATTGTTGTACACTGCAACAACTGGTGTAAGTTAACACCATAGGGACATACTAGTAGGGAGAGCGCCAACATAAAAAGTGAACCTAAATTCGTACTTCGGTGGGAGGGGAATTTGAAACCTCATGATCTCAGCAGTGTTCCAGGCCACTGACAGTGATAAAGACACGAAAGTAAGGAGCATAGTCTGTCAAAATTGTGATGGAAATGGTAAGTGGATTGATGCATATTTTTTTGGATCTTGAATTCTTTCTCATTATTAACGATAAGGTTCAGTGAACTTCTCTCGACATCCTCATACTGTTTTGAGTCTCATTTGACTAATATTGCTTAATATTTTAATTTGCCTTTCTGTTTATTCAATGTTTACTGAATTGTGGCAATGTTTACTGAATTGTGGCAATGAAGATGATTGTAACCGAAGCAGTACTTTCGAGAGAAATTTTGTACTCCTAGATTTTAGTAAGAGAGCTATTATATCTTTTATCAATATAATGTTTGTGTTGGATTTTGTTTAATAACAAACGAAGGGTGAATGGAAAATGGTGGGAAAGAAATGGAGGGAAGTGAAATTTTGAATGAGTTCACTAATGCACTTTGTCCCTCATTGGTAGAAAGAAAGAAAGTCTTGGTGTTTATATAGAGAAACTCATCTTTTAGCTCTTAAAGAGCTAGTAAGAAGGCAAGCCTTGCGCCGTCGTCGCTCGGCTTCGGCTTGATTAATTTTTTTGGACAAAATTCTTTTCAAATATTTAATTAAAGAAAATTCAATCCGAAATAACCAATGACCCGCGACCCAGTCCGGTTCGGTCCGCTTTTCTTTCCCGGATTAATTTAAATTCGTTTTAAATTTCCCGCAAAAATTTCCAACAGTCATGACTGTTCTGAAAGGTTGCAAACCTCTTCAGAAACATCACCAAGTTGGCTATAAATAGACCTTCAAATCCCAGAATATTAACTTACGAAATTTTCTGAATCTTCTTCTTCTTCTGCACAAAATATTCCAGTGTGTTTTAGGACCATTGAGTGATTCGCCGATCACCAGAGTTTTAGGTACCGATACACTGGTGAGTTAAATCATTTTATCCTGGGAGGATATATTCCAAAACCTCGGGTACTTGAGGGGAATAATTTCCTTAAGGACACACTGTGTATTCAGTGGGCTCGATTTGTTCCTACAACGTTTTTCCAGAATTTATTTTGAAGAAGTTTACTGTTTTCAGAATTTAATTTCTACTAACTTTCTGTTTAAGGATTATTACTTAATATATTTACTGCAATACAGATTGGTAACAAGCAGTTCCATCTTGACTTGGTAGTTGGTAAACCACCAGGTCAAGGTTTCCTTAGCAGCAACATTTAGCAGAAAATTGTAAAGCTGATATTAAAGCATGGTCAATATGATTTCAATGAGTGCAACTTGAAGCACTGAATTTACCATCACATGACAACATGTTGCTCATGTTAGTATGTCCAATTCAGAGAGGGTAAACATCTCTTTGTTTACTTACTGCCTCCCCACCCTTCTCAACCCCTTCGGCGCGCTGGTCCTGGAATTCAGGTTCAAGCTAGTTTACTTCTGGCCTCTGAATGTAACCTGCAGTGCCTTCAATTTCCAACAATGATGCCTCAACATTGAACTCTTGCTACTTTCTCCTTGCCATTTCCACTGATAACAGATACTTAGCAGTTGAGCTTAGCATATTATGATGGTTTTTTGCTGCTACCTCAGATTGCTTATGGCTTTAGTAATTTCTGAAGATGCACTTTTGTCCTATATATATTTGAGATGCCAGCGGTTTTCACGCTAGCTTGCGTGCACCTGGACAATACTTTTGTCCTATATATATTTGAGATGCCAGTGGTTTCTGCATTAGCTTGCGTGCACCTCGATTATTCCATATGATGCCTGCTACTTCTAGCAACACATGTATCTGATAACTTTGTCTACCAAGTTTTAGATAGAGGGGAAGAAATCGCCTTCATTGACTACTAGGTCACAACCCTTGGGTAGTTAAAATAGTAAAAATGTTTAGAGAGTTTTGCCAAAGTCATATGCAAGTACACATTTATCGCATTCTAATTTCGACTAGCTACCTTGCATGACGTTTTTAAAAAAATACTGAAAAATTAACCAAACCGTACCAATACCGAAGAGTTAAGTTGCTCGGACTCAGGTGCGGGCATCTGATACGGGCACGGATCCGAGTGTCGGATTCGGCAAAGTTTAAATTTTAAGATTCGATGTTGCGAATCCAGGTATGGATACGGGTGCGGGGATTCGGCTAAAGAAATTCAAAATTATATATAAAAAAAAAAAGAGCTATAAAGAGAAAAAGAAAGTCATTCAAGGCCTTCCACCAACTCTTCATTTATACCGCTGCTACTGTCTACCAAAAGTCCGAACTCAGGACACGACCCCTTGAATTCTTGATTTTTACGAAACACAAAGCAACAAATACGAGACAAAAGTACTACAATATTAAAGGTATGCCATTTCTCATGTTAAAATCTATTTTATTTTTAATTTTGAGAAATCAAAATCTCAATTTCCCCCCAAATTTGTCGATGGAGTCAGGTCAAAGTATCCGAAGTTAGTTGACCGAATCCGGGATGTATTCCGCTCCCGCATCCGCTCCCATCCATGTCGAGGCAGGTGTGGCACCAAAAACGAAGAGTCTACGCAACTTAGCCGAAGGGAAACTGAGATGATTGAGACGGTTTTGAAAAGTATAATTTTGGCTATACAAAATGGAATAACTGAAAAATTGATATGGTACAAATTTTATAAAATAGCCGGTTGTACCGAACCACTGACACCTTTACGGCTCTTATTTCAATTCCATCTACAAAGCTAAAGTAAAGAGAAAAAAATGTACTTATGCCATTAAGGTAGATGAAATGAGCATTTCTTCAGCTTATGGTTTTTCAGATATCAATAAACATGAAAGTCAATATACATTGATAAATTACATGGAAAGAAATGTTGTAAGTGAAATTTTTATCAATAATTGAGCTCAAATTTCTGAGTTTCTTACCTTTGCTACAATGCCTGCTCTGAGATAATTGCTTGTCTTATGATTTTGAAGTACCTCATTTCTCCACCATAACTTCATACAGTTGCTTCCTTTTCCTTTTGCAACAAACAACCAGAAATGCAACAACGATCTTCACAAGAAAGTGTTGGAGCTTTTACTTGTGACCCAAATAAGACAATCTCCAAGTTCCAATCACTGTTAAATACTTACAAAAATTACTGGGGAAAAGTGCACTTGTTTCAGGTTTTGTCTGCATTTCTCTTTGAAATAAACCAAAAAAACTGAATTTGTTTTAGCCTCCGTAGCTCCTTGTTCACAAATGATGAGCATCTGTGACTGTTAGACAGCACTGAAAAAGCCAATTGGCAAACCTGACATAGAGCAAGGTTTGACTTTTACTAACTCCTACTTCCTCCATTTTAATTTATGTGACGGGAGCTTTTAAAACTTGTAGTCTTAAAAGCGTAAATGATACTAAATTTTTTGTGCGGTCATAATATTTATGTGGTTATAAA